AAAAAAAAACCCCCAACAAAACACAAACAAAACTGCTGCAACTATGATCGGTATTGCATCACAGTAGGCTACATGTTTACCATTACAACAAGTATTATTACGTTAGAACTATGTTTCGTGAAAGGAAATATTTTCATATTTAAAGAAAAGACCAGCATACAAAATATATTTGCATCAACAATTTACATGCACTGCCTTATTTATCAAAGTTGAAAAATATTCCTTAGTATTCCTCTCGAGTGAAATCTTCAACGTGTGAGGACAAGAAAAGATGGAGACGTCTATATTTTCGCCACAGTCCTGCAGAACCTGGAAGGAACTCACAGAGACCTCCAGCAATGCAAGCTACTGTGATACAAAATCACTTACAAAGATGATCACACGTTCTGACGGACATATCAACAACAAAGTCTGCAACAAACCTGAAGGGACCACACTTACTTGTATGGTTGAGTTCAGCAAAAATTGAGAATCTTTTTAAAACCTAGACGGGCACTATTATATGCAATATAATTAGCATATATATACTCGCCTATAACACGCACAATCCATCGAAAAAACCCAAAGGTCCGAAAAGTACGCAGTACCCAACAAGCCCTTGACAGCATGTCAGAGATTAACCCCCCCTACCTTACATGCACTACATACCAGAGTGACATCAATTTTGTAGTTAAGATACACCTTAAACCCTAGGTTGTACTATCAGTGGGTATATAGTAGACCTATTCAGATAAGATCAAATGTTTTCTTCAACTTTACCATGTAACTTTCTATAAGCAGACTCCACCATTCACAAGCTTCTGACCCACGAAAAATTCACAAAACACACTGAAACTGAGAGAACTGATGGTTCACGTTTTAACGACAGATACAACGTCTATGAAGCTGATCAAATGAACATATAGCAGGCACTGGCTGAATCATCGTGCACTCAGACTCACTTCGATGTGATGGGATGTTTTTCAAAAAGTCCCACGGAAAGAGAAAAGACGCAGGACTGCTGCAAGGTCCACATATATATATATATGTCTGCCAACATGAGGCGGCACTAGACACAACAAGCCGATGGCCCTCATATGACCGTAGGCAGTTGTGAGCGTCGTAAAACCTTACTAAGACTGAAAAATACACAAGTGTAAGCCGTGCGGAATCAAAAACAAGACGGGACTTTACACACACACACTATGTGATTTCACGGCTGTGGATCTCCACTGGCAGTTGGCTGTGTGCGTTTCTTGATTCTGTTCTCCCTCTCTCACAACCTCACCTAGATGGACAACAAGAACACGCCTCATCATTGTGTGGTGGCCCCACCATGGATTTCCCCGAACCGCTTACTTCTCCACTGCTGCTTCAACTGGCAGAGGTTCCAACAGGCTAGGACCCCGTGGAAACACTCACACAGGGACTCAAAATCTACCAATCGTATTAGTGTCCAATACATTTAGTATCGAGATATTTTTTGCGACGATCAGCCTGAAGTAAGGCGCACACCGGACAATTTCAGAAATTTAGATTTCCAGATTTTTCCAGAAGAATCGGCACCTCTGAACTGGAAAAATTATGTCACTGGCGACACTTTGGCACGAGATATCCCAAACATCACCGGTCACATTCTGGAGCTACAGGAGAGATCTCGCGCACACAGAACACTGGCTCTGTCCTGAGCATCTGACGTGCCACCGCACGCTTTTTCTTCCCACAATATGCGGGCTGTCTCTTCCAGCTGTCTTACATTTCCAACATAACAACATGTAGACAACAGTTCACCAGCTTCACTTACGTTTGTCTCAGCGTTAAAAAACAAACAATAAACAATCCCAACGAGGGAGAGAAATGAGAACAACCTCAACCCTCCACAAGTCCTGAAACACATCACTTTCCCCTCCAGCGACGGTGACGCTGTATTCTAGTTGTGTGGGGACGGGTATCCATAGCCAGAAGTAACAATAACAACACAACAACATAATCCGCTACCAAGATCCGGGTGCCAGACACAGAGCCCGGACTACCAAAAAATGTTCTCAGGTCTTTAAAAATCTCTCTCTCACATCACTCACAACTTTTATCCAGCAAAAATCAGGCAGATGTTCCCAATCCACCCATCAACAAAGTCCCTGCCACCTGGCAAACTGCTCCAGTGAAGACAAAACTTGTCAAACCAATGTTACACAAAGTCTTTCACCAAATTCTGAAATCTTCACTTAGTCATAGTCAACTTAGTTTCTTGGTGATTTGGTCTGTGACCGTTTGTTTCATGCTAGAAAACATCCTCAGTGAACAGTGTCCAGGCACCACACACACACCGGTACGCACCACACGCACCAGCACACAGCTCAGAGGGCCCGGCCCGTCAGTCCCACAGAACGCAGCAGTACGATTTTCTCACACGTCAGTCGGTGACGGGCACTCACTGCGCACTTCTCGTCTAAACCACCGGAGCCACAAAAAGCTGTCTGTCTTTTGTTCGATCTGCACGCGGACTGAGCTGTTTTTTTACCCAGCATGCTGTTGCTGCGTTGAGCTGTTGTTCCTGTCCCACTTGTGGCTGCGTGCTGTTGTCCTTGCTGCGTCACGCGAGGTCACGGGGACCGAGTCGGGCGTGTGTCATTCGTCCACCTGTTTCCTCCGTCGCTGTTTCTGGCTGACTTCGTCGTCCGAGGAGCTGCTGAGGAACATCTTGGCCTTGCTCAGGAACATGCTCACTGTGGACGGCAGCACAGGAAAAAAAACATTCATGTCACTTGCTATAAAAAATCATTACTCAAAGTATTTTACTTTTACTTTTATTATTTCATCCTCTGTTGCCATTAAGCGTCGAGGGGAGATGCAGTTTTCTATGGTAGGCCAGCTCTGCAGCTCTTTCAGTTGTGACATTATGTTTTCTCAGAGTTTCCCCGACACCCTCGATCAAAGTATTACACGTAAAACGATCAAAGAAATAAGAGCCATAAGTGGCCACGTCCATTTTGGCCAAAATACCAAAAATGAGATACTTTCACTTTACTTTTCTTATCCAGAGGCCGTCTCGGTTCAAGCCCTTCGGCCTGATAAATAAGATAATAGATGACATAGCATTATGTCCCCACTTCAGTGCTTTCTTGTCCTAGCTCCATTTGTTGTTTTTTTTACATTGAAAATGTGACTTCTTAAGCTCACTCTGTGTTATGAACTGTTTTCACTGTTATTAAAAATGGAGATAGGACAAGAAAACACGGAGATCGCGTTGTCTGTAAAGATCAAACCAATCTACCCAGTAGCTTTGCCACAATCACAATTCCCCAAAGGGTCTAGTACAAGAATTGCCTATAACACCTTCCTCTAAAAATCAATTTTTCTCAAAAAACAAGGAATGAGGACATTACCCCTCTAGCCCTCAGCCAACAATATCTTCTCTCCCAACACATCAGGCTAAAGCCAAAAGTATCAATCAAGAGTTTACATCCCAAAGGTTCCCATTTAAAGTTCTGCAACGTTCCTTGTGCCACACTATACATCACAATAAGGTTAATGAACCATCTGTATATCTATACTTGGTGGCCATGTAGGGTTTCTTTGTAAAAAATTGTTCCGTTTGGTAACAGCCAAAAGGCTAACTTTGCTAGCATGCTGCATAACACTGGTGGCTTATGCTGTTCAGAGATCAAGTGCCAATTTTGTATGACTCACCTTTCGGTATTTTGGGTAGATCGAGGAACATTCTTTTGCTCGCTGGAGAGAGAGAGAAAAAAATCACAATTTAAAAAAAATGTTCTTTATCACAAAAAAGAAGGGAATAAACACATGATTATCCTCTATGCCATCATGTCAAACAGAAATATATATTAATCTTCCAACATGCACTTACAAACCATTCGGTCAGATTACTTTGTTTTGTGACCAACAATTTTAGACAGCTAGTTTATAACAACATTGCAATATTCTTAGTCCTATATGACTATGAAACCGTGAGAAGGAAATATGAATCCTGCAATCTGATTTGAAAAGATGGCAACGACAACACAAAACAGTCCTTGACTTAGCTGTGAAGACTTTTTTTTCTCTGAGAAGCAAGACAGGAATTTATTAAAGCCACATGTTTCAGTTTCATTAAAATTTCTATCAATGATACCTTTTTAGAAGAAAAGCAAAACACTGAAGCTTTCTATCAAAACAGTTCAGATGCAAATTCATTCTCATAAAAAAGGAAAAAGTAAGAAAAGGAACAGTTTGGACAAAAAAAGACAGGTAAACAATGAAAAAATAAGTAAAATAATCTGAGAAAGACAATCCAAATTAACGATAAAAACATTCTTCGTAAAACTTTCTCAACGCACTGGTGAGGATAAGAAACCCCCCCCCCCCCCCAGAGAAACTGCAAATTTGAAAGGAGCTCTCAACAAAGCAAACTTGAAAACTACTGAAGTAGAGACGTCTGTTCAGTTCAAACATAAACATCAAAAGTTCAGTGGAGGAAGACAATCAACAAAACTGTAGCATATGGGCCATACAGCATACAGGGGAAGGTTGTCAAGGACCAATAAAAAAAACAAAGACCAAAAAAAAAGGCTAAAAGTAAAAAAAATAATAAATAAATAAATTCTTGCTAGAACGATCCAACTTGTACAAACGTCCACTTCTCACTTCCACCCTTGCATGTTTTTAATATCATAATGACACAGATCAAGACATCCACCTGTCTACAAACCACTTTTCTCCTTGACAATGGATTGCCGTCTTGTATAATTTTGACCGTACATCAACTCTAGTGTTGTCATTGGTGCAAAAACACGCCCCCCCCCCCTCCCCCATGGGCAGTAGCTTTTAAAAGAAGGTGGAATCTAGCCTTGTGGAGGAAACCACAAAAATCTGGAGAAATGTTCTAAAAGCTTCCTGGAGTCAAACCTCCAACACAACAGTTTTTTCCTTCGAGTGGGAAACACACTTCTCGTGAATCTAGCATCTGAAAAAAATCTCACTGGAACTTGGATCACACCATCTTTACGTAGAACTAGATTTATCCACACTGTTGATCTAAGAACAGCCGGCATTTTTTCCTCAAGAACATTCGAAAATAACAAAACAAGGTAGACCCAAAAAAATGATCATATAGAAAAAGACCACCAAAAAAAAAGAAGTTGACATTCTTTCGGATGAGCATGTGGGATATCATAGAAGAAACTCAACTCAGAGAAATAGAACATCATCGCATCCGTCACCTGTTCAAATGTACTAACCCAAAATTTTGAAACATCTCTCTCTCTTTTAATTGTAGTTACCTAATCTGTGAATTCAGTTGCATGATCTCCGAAATATTATGTCAAAATTTAAATTCTAAATGAAAATTTACAACAACAACAAAAAAAGATACAAAAATTTGGAACAATTTTTAAAGGAAAGAAACAGCTTTGTCTTTTTTTCTCTCTCCTGAAAAATTTTACTTTCTGGGTTAAGGACATTTGAACAGCTTGCTGATGACATTATATTTTATCGCCCTTGACACTTTGTCGCCTAAGAACTATTTTGTCCAAAGAGCCTCCTTATTTAAGTACACTTTGGACAAAATAGTTCGGAGGCGACGACTGGGCGAGCAAACAGAACAAATGAGAAAAACATGCACCCTGTTACATTAGACTTCTCTCTCCTGCCCTGGAAACAAAACAAAACAAACAAACAAAACAAACTTTGAGACATTTCCAAACACAGGGAACGGTTCGTGTAAAATTAAATACGATTACAGTCAACCCTGCTCTTACAGCAACCTGTCCAAGACAATCACCTGTACAAACCACAGACCAACATCCCTTTTGCCTTGTTAAAAACATCATAATGACACTGTTCAAGACATTCATCTGTCTTTTTTAGTAAACATTTTCCAGCACTTACAACAGAACTGGGTCATGTAAGCCCTGAAGATAAGTGGTGTTAAAGTAACAAACACAAAAAAGAAGTAGGAAAGATAAATTTGACAGAAGTTTGATAGGAAAGAAGTAGCAAACTACACCAGAGCATCCGCCTACCACCTGGTCCTATGTCCACCTGTCTTAAGATAACCACTTTTCTCCTCAACCTAGGGTGGCCATTTTGGACAATTTTGACTCAGTAGTTTCACATATTAAGTGATAGAAAACACAATCAGCTACAATGCCCCCCTCCCCTATTCTCCCCCTTGAGGAAGTCACAAAGTCCTCAAAAAACAGTCCACATTTCTACACAACTTTAGTAGAAAAGATATAGTACCAGTCAGCATGTAAACTCACCAGTATACAGATGTTCTTGTAACAACTCTTTTGAATTTTTTAAAAATTTGTTCAAACTGAAGAGAATCACAGTGACATGATAAGTCATTCAGGACTTAGATCTAGAACAAAAATAGACGGACAAACAGAAACCACAGACAGGTAGTAAAGAGGCAGAGTTTAAAAACTGCACCCTTCAACGTCATTACAAATTAAAACTGCAAGGACCCGCGCAGAGTGTTAGCTTACACAGAGAACACATTCCCTCACCAGATACAGGTGTGAAAATAATCAAATGTCTGCACCACCTATATTGCATCTCTCTCTCTCTCTCTCTCTCTCTCTCTCTCTCTCTCACAAATAAACACACAAACACACAAACACACAGTTGAACTCACTAGACGACTGCAGCACCAGCCTCTTGTACACTTACATATGACAAACAAACAAACAAATAAACACACACACACACACACAAACAAACACACAGTTGTACTCACTAGAAGACTGCAGCACCAGCCTCTTGTACACCTGTCTCATACGTTCCAGGTTGATGCGACTCACACACACACACACACACACACACACACACACACACACACTCACACACACACACACACACACACACACACACTCAACACCCTCCCCTCTCCCACACACATCCACAGACACACACACACACAGCTGTACTCACTAGATGACTGCAGCACCAGCCTCTTGTACACCTGTCTCACACACACACACACACACACACACACACACACACACACACACACACACACACAGCTGTACTCACTAGATGACTGCAGCACCAGCCTCTTGTACACCTGTCTCGTCCACTCCAGGTTGATGTGACTCTCACACACACACACACACACACACACACACACACACACACACACACACATACACACACACAGCTGTACTCACTAGACGACTGCAGCACCAGCCTCTTGTACACCTGTCTCATCCTCTCAAGGTTGATGCGACTGACGTCAGAGTGGACAACCATGGGCATCGGGTAGTCTTTCCCCACGATGCACTTGGCCACCTTCTGCACAGACTCTGGGGCTGTCCATGGCTCATAGATATACTTGGTGGGCATAGCCTTCAGCACCGGCAGGTAATGTCTGTGGACACACACACAATAAAATGTTCGGTTCAACTCTTAACCCATTCTTAAATTATCACAATTTTGTATGCCGTAAGTTAGATCTGAGACGACAACCTTTGAATATTACAGTATTTAAAAAGTATTGCACATCTTGAATAGAGATAAATGTTGTTTCAGGTTAGGTCTGTTTTTGTTTTTTTTGTTTTTTAATCATCATTATAAATCCTACTGAGAATTTTAACTGACCTGACAAAATCTCCCGAGGGGTCGGCCCGCTTGCCAAAGCCCACGGGACAGTAACAGTGGAAAAACTGCTGGAAGAAGGCGGAACAGGAGAGCCACATCCACATGCCGGCGTTGACGCTCCAGTCCGCGTCCAGCAACATCTCATCAAACACCTGGGGGGGAAGGGGTAGAGGCAGAGGGAAAAGTTATTCATATAATTGATTTTGTTTTCTAGTCTAGTTTTAGTAGTAGAGGTTTTACGGCCCTCGCAACTGCATAAGGTCATATGAGTGCCAGAAGATTAGAGGCGTTACAAGAGAGTAACAAACATAAAAAAAGAAGGAGGGGAGATAACGACGATAGATGTTTGAAAAGAAAGGAGGAGCAAACCACACCAGAGCACCCGCCAACCACACACTGATTTTGTTTAAGAAAGTGTTTTACCGCATTCATAACACAAAACAGTCAAATAAGACGCCAAAGAGAGGTGTTCCAAAATAGTAACAAACACATAGGAGAAGGAACGGAGGAGACATCAGGAAGATAAATGTTGGATAGGAAAAGGGAGCAAACCCCACCAGAGCACCCGCCAACCACCCAACACACCAGAGCACCCGCCAACCACCCAACACACCAGAGCACCCGCCAACCACCTACTGAAGGGAACTATTTTATGCTCACTTCAGCACAACAAATACAATTTGAGAGGCTGTCTGTTTCAACTCTGCCTTTCAGGGGATGACAATAGATTGCATTTGTATAGCGCAAACAAAGAGTCTACATAACAAGAGGGGCCACTTCTCTTTTTGAGCCAATTAAAAAAGTGTCCTCAAAATTCGGTGGCGCCCTCTTCGCAAAAGCGCACCCTTTGCGAACAGAGTTACCCTACTTGAGTTTAAAAAATCAAAGTGAAACTAGCAAGTTTTTGAATAAATTTCGGAAGAACCCTTTTTAAAATGGTTATGCTGACAAAAAATGTCTTCCGGAGGAAAGGGTGATTGTTTTCTTCGTTTAATTTGACTTTAGAATGAAAGGCGAGAGGTCATTAAAATTTTTAAAAACCTAAAACTCCACACTGAACGAACCCGAACTGCTGATGAACAGCAGTCGATCTGCGCATGCAAGGAGGTGCTATTCCTATTCTTCTTCTGAAAAAACGAAAGAAAGAGAGCTTCAAAACAGACTGCAGCGCCATCTGAAGCAAAGAGCGAACTTCCTGCGGACATAATTTTGGTTGAGTGGACCATCTTGTTATGTACTATCTATGGCGCAAATTCCCCCCTCAACAGCAAGCTTTATGCGCTTTAAAATCTACATTATTATATTACCCCAGCAGACCCAATAGCATTCTGAAACAACTTCAACTTCCTGGGACGCATACAGTGCAAGCTGCCATTTTACAGGCCCTAAAACACTAACATACTGACAAGATCTTTCGCTGTCTATTGCAGGGTACAAAAACCAAACAAGTGAGACAATGACAACTGACAAAACCCCCCAAAAAAATTCACAAAAAACAACCAAAACGACAATGACAACTGACACAAAAAAACAAAAAGACAAACCAAAACGACAATGACAACTGACAACGAGCAAACAGTAAAACAATGACAACTGACAAAGACATACAAAAATCAGATAATGACAACTGACAAAGACATACAAAAATCAGATAATGACAACTGACAAAGACATACAAAAATCAGATAATGACAACTGACAAAGACATACAAAAATCAGATAATGACAACTGACAAAGACATACAAAAATCAGATAATGACAACTGACAAAGACATACAAAAATCAGATAATGACAACTGACAAAGACATACAAAAATCAGATAATGACAACTGACAAAGACATACAAAAATCAGATAATGACAACTGACCAAAAAAAAACCCCGAAAAGTCTGACAAATGATAACAAACACCGCCAGCAGCACGTACCTTCATGCCCTCCTCCCAGGATATCCACAGGTCTCCACGCGTGAGGAAACAGGCTACAGCGTGCCGAGCCAGGTGATGGATCCAGCCCTCCTTCTTCAGCTGTACCATGATGGCGTCGATCCACGGGAAGCCAGTCATGCCCTACAGACATAGGAGAGGCGGGAGACGTTAAAGAACATCTTATTTAATTCAATAATAATTACAGTGGACTCCATCATCACTTCAAAATGTTAACAGCAATAGAGCTATTGAAGATCACATCAAAATGTCAACAGCAATACGTGGGCAGTATTGCATACAGACGAATCTTAAAGGCTGCCAAAAATGACTAACGTCTGTATGCAATACTGCCCGCGAATAGAACTATTCAAGATCACATCAAAATGTTAACAGCAATAGAGCTATTGAAGACCATATCAAACAAAATGTTAACAGGAATAATAGAGCTGGAAAGGATTGCATCAAAATGCTAAAAGTTATAGGGCTATTGAGGGTCACTTCGAAATGTTAACACCAATAAAACTATTGAAGATCGCATCAAAATGTAACAGCAATAGACTAATAGAGCTATTGAAGATCACATCAAAATGTTAACAGCAATAGAGACATTGAAGATCACATCAAAATGTTAACAGCAATAGAGACATTGAAGATCACATCAAAATGCTAACAGCAATAAATCGATTGAAGACCACATGACACAAAATGCGAACACAGCAAATAGAGCTATTGACTGAGGATGACATTAAAATACTCTTCAACCACCTTCGGGACACAGCTACAACATTCACACACAACACTAATTCTATTTGAGCAGCCTGATAATCAGTGAAAAAGGGGAGGGAGAGAAAAATAAAAAGGGGGCAAAAAACATAACAAGCAAATACAGGAAAAAACAAAACAAGCAAATACAGGAAAGTCACGGGAAATTGAATCACGTTACACTTTACTTTTACATCTTACTTTTACAAATACGGATGAACCTGTTTTTATCCTTCTTATCGACTGTCTTTCAATACCGTGCCAAGCAGAAGATAAAACGATAGAAATATTCTGTTCTCCAGACAATTAGATGGGAAAAATCCACACAGTTTAAGTCCCACTCACAGGCTACAATCTCTGGTTTAAAAGGCGGAAAAAGATCGAATGTTGGGTTTTTTTTCCGTCTTCATATTCAATTATGTCATCAGTCCATCTCTCACAAAAAACAAATTGTCTACAGAGAATCTGATCTAGCAAAAGTAGACCCCCCCCCCCCCAACCCAACCCATCCTCATCAAAACCACCAAGCGAGGTGCCTGCTCATCAAATCACTGCTTGTGGACTACTGAGCCTCACCCCTTAAAAAAAATATTTTTGGGTCTCATATCTTGTCCTCAAATACAGTGACTTTACACCTCATTTGAGGTCACAGTTTTTCTGCTATGAAATAAAGATTGTACTTCCCATACCCAGGTGCAAAAAGGCTGCATGTAATTTTAAGCCAGATATTATGTCTTGTACAGCTCATTGAGTATTGTCACACAAGGAAATGTGCTATACAAATGCTATGTATTATCATCATTATTAATATTACTTGTTGTAAATATCTCACTAGTTCTGCAGGAGTTAAAATATATTTGCAGCCAAGTATGAGCCATACCTTTCACATTTTCTTATTCTTTCAACAATAGCGGACGTCACACAACACTGCAATTCATTTAACTCCAGAGATATATCTTCATACTCTCAGAAAAACCTTTTTTAAAGTCTACAAAAGATGACAATACAGTCAAACCTGCTCCAACGGCCACCTGTATACATCAATCACCTGTACAAACAGCCACGTCCCATTTCCTCCCTTGCCCCTTGCCCCTTGCGTATTTTTCACATCATAATGAAAGTAAGTCTGAAGGCCATCTGTCTAATATGTGAGGCGTGCTGACAAAATGAGTTACTTTTTGCTATCCAAGAATGGAAATATTGACCGAAAATTGACACTGAGGTCAGATTTATATATTTTTAATCAATGTTATTTTGTTCTAGTCGACAGTGTTTTTTATATTTTCCAGACTTACAAATAGTGCAAACCCCACCTATAAAGTTGATGTATCAATTTCCATACGGCTAAAATCCGAGAAGTAACTCATTTTGTCAGCGCACCTCACATGTGTTCATTTTTCTCCTCAACAATGGGTGGCCGTCTTAGACAGTTTCGACTGTATTCATCGTTATGATAGACATCTGCTCAACATTCAAGAACGTTGTACGAGTCATAATACTTTACACTCTAAAGAGAAGAAGACAAACCACACCACACCACACTACATCCGAGAATTAAGCGCATCATGAGACGGACAGAACCACACCCTCCACTGGCCGCTCATCACAACTGAGGCGACTTCCACAACATCGAGGCGGTTACCTGGCGATGACGTCCCAGGTTGCATTGCGGAGAAACCTTTGCGATCACAAACCCGACTAGGCAAAGCGAGGCTGAAACACTCAGAACGTGAACACAGCAGCAACATCTTTGGGAAGTCTTCACGCGTCCAAGCAGTCTATCTAGACACAGAGTGCTTGTGTGCTGTGTACGTCCCAGTTCCACATGATCATATCATTTGTTCCATATGACCATATCGTTTGTTCAATATGACCATACTGTTTGTTCCATATGACCATATCGTTTGTTCCATATGACCATATCATTTTTTCCATACCGTTTGTTCCATATGACCATATCCGTTTGTTCCATATGACCATATCCGTTTGTTCCATATGACCATATCGTTTGAATTGCTTACTTTGAAGGACCACAATAATTTTACCAGCAAATCGGGGTAGCTCAACTCTTTACCTCCATACACTCATTATAATCATACTCATGTAAATGTAGTTAAAATCTTACTATGAAAAAATGTTTTTTAAATGTTGCAGCTTTGAATATTTTCCCAACTCAAACATGAAATGTTCCAAAGCCATAAGCACATTTCAGAGACTGTATACCCATTACTGCAGCTCCTTGCTTCAAGTCAATGGGATGTAGAATCAGCGTCCGTGTATTCAGGACACTACCACACACTCACAATTTATAAAGTTTTTCTTAAAACTTCAACGAATTCACGTTCTCTCCAAACTGTTTGAGAATTTCTTTTAAAACATGGAGGCTTCACGTTCTGATGAGCTCCTCTTCGTATCAAATGTCCTTTGCGATGTAAGTTTTAAAAAGTCTTTATTGAGAAAGAACTTCTACAATGTAATCTATATTGAAGCAATTGTATAAAAATTCAGCCTCTTGCTCAAACAAATAATAAAAAGGGAGTAGACTGTGTACTAATTTGAGTTCTTCTGATGACAAGATTCGTTCTTATTTAACAATTTGTTGAAATTCCAGTATCCTTCTCCCTTGCTCTCGATGCTCACACTTATTAGTAAAGCCAAGGGGGAAGTTCAGTGTGTCAAAAGAGGCATGAAAGTTGTGCTCTCTCTCTCTCTCTCTCTCTCTCTCTCACACACACACACACACACACACACACATACAGTCATACAAAGACACACAAACATACAACACACATGCAGTTACACACAGTCATACAGTCTCACACATACACACACGCCCACACAGAACACACACACACACGCCCACACAGATACAGAGGTTCCATCGTGACAAAGATAGTTGCACCCTGCCAAAACTCATTTGGAGGACAAGACGCAAGTTCCTGTTCTTCCTTCCAACATCACACCAGGATTCAAATCCACAATTATATGTAGTTGCCAGTATAAGAACCAAACAACTGAGCCCTTGACACCATGGATGACCACAAAAGACAACTTTTGCCCAAGATGTCCTGGTGACCCACAATGGCCCTACAGAGAGTGGCAGCACCAGATGTTGGAACTTGATCAAGTAAGTCCTAAACAGAGGGCTGAAGTTTATTTTACCCAATTCTGTTCTGTGAACTCTTCAGGTTAATTTTCTAAAGCTGAAAGAATTTTGTCATTTTTTCCTTTATCATTATTTATTATAAATCATCCAGCACACTCAAAAGACGAAAACAGAAATTTAAAAAGACACAAAAACAAATCTCAACCACAGGAGAGAGAAAACAAAAATCCGATCATTTCTCAAAAAGACAAAAACAAAACTAGACTTTCAGCCAAGACTCCAGAAAGTTTCAGCCACCACTCAGATATATAAAAAAGAACAAAAAAAGGGGGAGAGAGAAAGACAACGACAACAAGAACGCTACGCTACACGACCCTACACAACACGACACACGGAGAGAGAAAGCGAGGACATACCTCTGCCCACTTGACCAAAGCCTCTGGGTTGTGCTCCCACGGGATCTGGACGCAGATCGAGTTGCCCACCATGCGGTCAAAGTTGGGGTTGTTGGTGGCCACCGTGTAGAAGAACTCTCGCCACAACAGCTGGCCGTGCAGGGCGAGTGGGGGCTCCGCACCTTTCTTCACCTGGTGTGCGTGGAGACAAACGGGGTCATTATGTTTTATTCTACTTCTTTTCCTCCTCTTTTTATTTCTCCTCCTCCTACTCCTGTTCCTTTTTTCTTTCTTATTCATCTTTCTCTCCTCCTCTTTCTTTTCCATTTTTTTACTCCTTCTCCTCTTCTTTCTTCTTTTCCTCCTGTTCCTTCTTTTTCTTTTCCTCTTTCATCATTTGTTCCCTCCTTCTCCTCTTCTTCCTTTTTCCCTCCTTCTTCTCTTTTTCTCCTCCTCCTCTTTCTTTTAAGTTTTAGTAAGTGTTTTACGGCACATGTAACACAATAAGGTCATACAAGTGCCGAAGAATAGATGTGTTACAAGAGAGTAACATACACAAAACAGAAGGAGGAGAGATAAGGACGATAGATGTTTGATAGGAAAGAAGGAGCAAACCACATCAGGGCTCAGCGCCTTTCTTCACTGGT